TTTGAAGAGTTTTAATCAGGAATGTGTGTACTATTACTAGGAGACATCTGAACCCCTGCTCGGCTGCGAAGTCTATTTCTAGCTCTTGAAAGGGGTTACTCCCATCCCCCTGGGGGGGCCTGCAGAGCAGGCTGGGCATTATTTTTTAGCACATGTTACACACCACTCACTGGTTGCTCAGCACAGTGCCAGCAGCTGGCGGATGCAGCCGTGCTTCTGGAGAAGGGCCTCTAATGAAGTTTTTCCCAGGTGGGTGAGTCAGTGGTATTTCTTGACTAGATGCCCTCCTGTTGCTGTTGGGATGAAGATGTGCCCGTCTAGCATCACCCATCACCCCTTTTTAGTCAGGGTGGCCCCTCAGCCATGGCCCATTTTTTTCCTCTTAGTGTAACTGGGCGGAGGGACTTCTGGGGGTGTCAGGGCCATGGTGAGGGAAGGAGCTCTGTCTGTGTCCTTACTGGCTGCAGTCTTGGCAGCCTCGTTTGCCAGATGATTTCCCCCATGCTATAGGGTTGTCTCCTTTCTGGGTTCCCTTACAGTACAGGACTGCTGCTTCTCTTGGAAGCCAGATGGCTTCAAGGAGTTTTAGTATCTCTTCTTTGTTTTTGATAGCTTTTTCTGCACCAGTTAGGAGGCCCCTCTCCTTGTAGATGGTCCCCTGTAGACGCACAGTAGGGAAGATGTACCGAGAGTCCGTGTGGATGGTGACCCGCTTGCCTTCACTGAGGGTGAGGGCTCGGACTAAGGCGTATAGTTCAGCCTGTTGTGCTGACAGTCCAGCTGGTAATGCCTTAGCTTCTAGGACTTCAGTGGTCATGGTCACTGCATAACCCGCTTTCCGGGCACCCTCTTGTGGTAATTGCTGCCATTGCCGAATAGCGTGAGCTCTGGATTCTTTATGGTTTAATCCTGTAAGTCTGGACGGCTCACATAGACTTTATCAGTTACCTCAGAGCAGTCATGGTTTTGTTCCCCCTCTTCCATGGGGAGAGGGGTTGCTGGGTTTAATGTCCTAACTGTTCCGAGGGGGACCCATGGATTCTCGCAGAGGAGCCCTTGGTACTGTGCTAGCCGGGAGCTGGAAAGGAAGTGGTGCCCCTGTGTGTTCATAAGGGACGTAACTGCATGAGGGACCTGGGTGTTAAGTTCTTGTCCCAGGGTGAGCCTGTCTGCCTCCTTAATGAGTAGGACTGTGGCTGCCAGCGCCCTGAGTCAGGGCTCTTTGACAGATATGCAGCTGGCCATTGTCAAGGCCCAACTGTCTGGGTAAGTACCCCGAGCACTATCTTTTTTTATGTACAACGAGATTGAAGGGTTTTTCTATATTTGGTAGGCCTAGGGCTAGAGCCTGCCCAGGGCAGCCTTTATCTCTGTGAAGGCGGCTTCTACTTTCTCAGTCCAGGCAGGGGGTTTTCGATTTGGTCCCCCTAAGAGATCATGGAGGGGTCTTGTTACTGCTGAGAACCCAGGAATCTGGATGCAGCAGAATCCTGCAGGCCCCAGGAATTCTCGTAGGCCCTTTTCTGGGGCTGTGGCAAAGAGATGGTGGCTTTCTTTCTCTGGCCCTAGTTCTCTCTTCTCTTGGGTGAGGAGGAAACCGAGGTATCAGACCTGTTGTTGGCAGATTTAGGTCTTCCTCCCTGAGATTCGATATCCTGAGTTTGACAGGAGCTGTAGGCGATCCTCTGTGCCTTGTGTGCAGTCACTGGCAAGGAGGTCATCCACATCCTGGAGGAGGGCTCATGCATTTGGGACGACTGGGTGCAGGGAGGTGGCCACCTTGTTGATGGGCAGAGGTCTTGACCTGGTCGATATCCCCTCCTGGCTTCTTGACCAGCGGGAGTGGGGTATGCCAGGCCGACTGGCACTTGAGCAGGATACCTGCTTTTTAAGTCTGGCCAGGTGTTCTTGAATGCCAACGTTAGCTTCTTGTGGGAGGGGATATTGCCTTTGCCTCTGGGGTTGGGCTCTCGGGATCAGTTCAACAATGATAGGGGCCCGATTCTGGGCTAGTCCAGGTGGGTTTTCTTTAGACCATACTGAAAGGAAATATCTTTCTGAAGTACCTTTCCATACTGAAAGGAAGTGAACCTGAAATCCGGCAGGCCATTCGGCTCGGCCTGGCCACAGAATAGCCTCCATTCTTTTTCCCTTGGTGTGGTAATTGCTAGTACCAGAGACCCTGTCTCCTCTTGCCCTGGGTTCATTCGGAGGCTGCTGTGCCTGGTGGGCTGAAAGGTTATCTGAACCCCAAGCTTGGAGATTATGCCTCAGCCCAGGAGGGGGATGGGGCAATAGATATAGAGGAACTCATGTTGGACCTGGTGGCCCCTGAGTTTACACTGATGAGCCTGGCAAATTGCCAGTGTCCTCGTAGCCCCAAGGATGATCGCAGTCCTCTTGCTGAAAGGGGCCATTGGGGAGGTGACAAGAGAGTGCTCGGCCCCAGTATCAATCATAAAAGTCACTGGTTGGCCCCCTATTTTTATTCTGACCATGAGCTCATGGAGGCCAAGGAGGAGAGAGCCTGGTTCCCCTCAGTCTATTTCTGCAAGGCCTATGAGGTCCCCCTTTTTCAGGGAGCCTTTCCCCAGTTGAGACATACTTTATTTTAATGCCCCTTTTCTTTACAGTAGGCACATTGATCCCTGGCCAAGGGGGTTCTGGGTTTCCCCCGTTTGGTGGTTGGGGCCTCTCCACCCTATAGACTTGTCAACAGGGCCACCCTGGAAACCCTTTCCCAGAATGAACAGGTGGGCTTGTATGTCTACTTGAAGGGGTCGGTGGTGGAGAAAGGTTGATAATACATCATGGAACGGCCGGGCTGGACTGCCGTGTCTTTATGGTGCCACTCCGGTTCTTGCTTTTCTTGTACTGGCATTTGGAGGGCGCTTGGCCCGGCCTGGAAAACAACCTGGCTGCTGGTCTTAGAGAAAGTAGATCCTCTGGGCCTGGGGCGCCGGGGGGACTGATGGCGGTGGAGCGTCTGGAACTAGAGGAGGCCAGGTGTAGATGGCCTTGGGGGTGCGTACGGAGGGGACAGGATCGGACAGGATCGGTTTAGCCTTGGGATCTCTGGCTGGGGCTTCTGTCGGTCTTTTGGGGCCACTTGGATGAGGTGATTAAGACCCCGGCCCATCCCTTCCGAATGGCACCCAGGGGGTAGGGTCTGGGCCAGTCCTAGCCAGGAGTCAATGTACAGAAATTGCGTGTTTTGGCGTTCCTGTTACAACGAACCAAACCGATGAGTCTCTGGGACAGCTAATGTCCCTTTTGAAGGCCATCCAGCATTGAAGGTGGGTCATTCTAACTCACATAGGGTTCTCAGTTTGCCAGGATGCATTTTAACTCCATAGTCTTTTGAAAACCCCTTTCTTGGATTTTGATCCTACAGTCTGGGACTGTAGTTTGACTCTGCCTTGGTCCCATAGTGATGTTCCCGTGTGTCGCCAGCACGGAGACAAAGGGTGGGTGTCCCTGCAGAGCAGAGACCAGGCACATGCTCGCCTGTCTGCCCTCCGGGAGGAGACCTATGTGCCTCTTGGCCACCGCGAGTCCATATAAACCCCAGATTGGCACCCCAAGGGCTCACTTTAGACCTTATGAGCTCACCCCGGAGCAGGTCAGGGCCCACTTGGACTCCGTGCGCTTCTGGGGGCCCTAAGGGTGCCGCCCGTGGAGCCACGGACTCAGGCCGCCTGACCCCCCAGGTCAAACTGCACATCCCCTCACGCTTTCACACCGAAGTTCTTACAGTTCCTCCCCCCAGGCCCTGACCTGTACAATTCCTTTCCTTTCGGAAATTCTTTCCTGCCCCCCCCCCTTCGGGGGGGGTTCCTCACCTGAAGGACCCCCCCCCCCCCCCCAGGAGTCCCTACCTGTGAGACCTCTGAGAGCTGTCTGGGAGGAGATCAGTCTCCCTTCCGCCCTGACGGGGTCCTGGGGCCCCGGGCCTCGCCGGAGCCCGACGTCGCGACCAGGTCCTCACCTGCCAAGTCTCCTGTGAGTCCGGGCGGGAATGGCGAAGCGGCCCGGCAGCGCCCCGCGCGGGAGGCTGCCAGAAAGCAGGCAGCGCGCCTTCTTTACGACCCTCGTGCGTCGCCGCCGCAAACCGGTGGCCACGATGGTGCTGGCGTGGGAGCCACGTGTTGCGAACCTGGACTGGGTCCTGGCCAAAAAAAGCCAAGCGGCCTTCAGAGACCTTGGAGGACCGAAGGTGCATTTCATGGCGGTGGGCCCGGGAGAGAGTAATCTCTCAAGGTGTGAGACCCGAGCACAAAGGGGGTAGTTTATACACTTTGACTTCCATATCTGTGCCACTCTTGCCGCCACGGCCAGCAGGGTGGGTGACAGAGAACAAGGAATGGCCCTGGGGCCGGGACTGGGATTCCCCTGCCGGATTGGTCCGCCACCTCAGAACACAGATTTTCCTTATCATGACTTCAGAATCCATGATCTAAACCATTCCATGAAGCTGCCCTTAAAACCCTACCTTTATATTGCTGGGTGATGTAAGGATTCATACGGAAAAAATATTCTAAGGAAACGAACCTGAAGATCTGGTATGGAAAATGGAAGCAGGGGCGCCTGGGTGGCTCAGTCAGTTATGCGTCTGCCTTCCGCTCGGGTCCTCATCCTGGGATCGAGCCCTGTATCAGGCTCCCTGCTCAGTGGGGAGTCTGCTTCTCCCTCTGCCCCTCTCCCTGCTCATGCTTACACACACTCTCTCTCTCTCTGAAATAAATAAAAATGGAAGTGAATACGGAAAAAATTATGATACCCCCAATGCAAAATGGCAGGCCACAGTTCTCCTTAAATATTGAAGCACTTTTATACAGCATCACTTCTATATCCCAGACTGTAACCGTATCCACACACTTTTGTGTAACAGCCGCAGGAGATGAAGTCCCCAGGACCGCACTCTTGCCCGTCTTTTTCCTCTGAAACGGACACCATCCGTTGTATGCGGCATCGATGCTCTTTCTGTTTTAATCCCACAGATGAAAGAGCTCGGGGTCATCTTCTACAACTGCAGCTGCCTGGTCCTGGACTTACAGAGGATATTCGCTCTGTACAGCTCGTTAAAATTCAAGAACAGAGTGCCTCAGACCTGGTCCAAGAGGCTCTATGGCATCTATGACAACGAGAAGAAGTTGCAGCTTCAGTTGAACGAAACCAAATCTCAAGCCTTTGTGTCGGTGAGTCCTTGCCCTCCCGCTCCTCCTTCCTCCCAAGCTGGAACGTTCGAGTATGATCCAGGGCCGGGCCATCCTGAATTCTCCACATCAGTTCTGTCCCATCCCTCGAAGAGGTAAGATACGTGCTATCAGACTCGGCTGTCCCCAGTGAGGGGAACAGTGATGAAGGTTAATGCTCATTCCTAGCTCCCGCGGTCACTGTGCTCCTCTGCTCTAGCCACGGAACCCTCCTTTGATGAAAGGAGTCTGAGGGAACCCCATCGTGTAACACAGATAAAAGGAGAGCTGTGTGTACGTCACTGAAGCTGAGGGCAGGGCACGGCACAGCCTCCGGCCCCTGACTACACTGAAAACCACCACCCATCCCCCACATCCACCCCCCACCCACCACAGCTGCCCCACAGTGTCACTGGGAATGGGCAGTGTGACTCTGTGCCTATAGCCCTGCTCCCCAGTCTTTAATTAAGAACTGGCTGGGGCAGGGGCACCTGGGTGGCTCAGTCATTTAGATGTCTGCCTCCATCTCAGGGTCTTGGGATCGAGTCCCGCATTGGGCTCCCTGCTCAGTGGGGAACCTGCTTCTCCCCTCAACTCCCCCCCCCAACTGCTGTGTCTCTGTCACAGAAAAACCTTAAAAAAAAAAGGACTGGCTGGGGAGTACGTTTAAAATGCAAATGTAGAGCCCCCTACTCCTACCCAGGATCGAAGCACTGAACTGGGGTGAGACCTTAGAATTTTGTTTTGAAGCAGGCTCCACAGCTCATCCTAGTGCTCAGATAAACTGCTTAAAACCATGCTCCTCATTCAACACGCTCATCATCCTTTTTGCGGATCAAACCCAAAGCACAGTCTGAAAATTTAGCCAGGTAACAATTGAGACAAAAGAGGGTGTTTTTTTTGTCTTAACAAATTCATATAAATACAAATAGCAGAACACAGACTGCAAGACTTTCATCAAACCAAGCTATAAAAAAAACTTTTCTTTTTAAAATATGCCGCAGACCACAATGCAGTCGCACGTAGCGTATTGCATGGGGCGTTCTACGAGCCTACAATCATTTCACGTATTCCGTTCCATTTCTGCTCAAGACAACCCTGTAAGACGGGAAGGCCAGCTCGGATTCTGAATTTGTAGACGACTAACAATAGGAAATTGGCCAGGGAACCCTGAATCCAGAAGGTGACAGGGTGACATGACAGCCCAAGGGACATTTGCTCAGCCCGTAGAGCAGATGGGAAGCAGGAGGGATAGATGAATTCTCAGCAGATTTCACACAGTTGCTGGATGTTGAATCTTGGAGCTAGGTGGATGTGAGTTTTGTGTACATTTATATTCTGACTCTTAAAAAGCTGGGGGAGTCCCCCCTTGTTGATCCCAAAGTTACCATACCTGCCCCAGGGAGAAGGCCAGACCCTTAACAAAATCTACTAAGACGAAGGCCTTTGTTGTATTCTAGGGCAGATTTGCCAGTTGCTTTTTATTAAATGATTTGCCCCAAAATAAATAGAGTTTTGAAATATGCCTTCAGGAATAGCCTTTTAAACTGTATAATGCCTCTGCTTTCATTTTTCATATTATCACTTTATCTTCTATTTCCCATTACTATCAAGCCTACCTTTGAATTCCAGTCAGACACATGTTAACTGAACACGGTTTTTGCAGAGACATAAAACCTTGCAGGTAAAAAATAAAGTCAGATCTCCCCACCACTGGAATTCGTAACATTTGCCCAAAGCTCTTTGATCTCACCCCTAATGTAGCATTTATCACATTCTCATAACTGTTGGTTTATTGATCATCGCTCCCACTATTTAAAAGGCTCCAAAGGCCATATACAGGGCCATCTTCATCATTGCTATTCCCAGCACATTACTTACAGCTCCCTAAAAGCAACAATAAATGTGGGATTGGTTTTATTAGTAATAATTTTAATAAAAAGTTCTAGGATGCAGGGGCGCCTGGGTGGCTCAGTGGGTTGGGCCGCTGCCTTCGGCTCAGGTCGTGATCTCGGAGTCCTGGGATCGAGCCCCGCATCGGGCTCTCTGCTCTCTAGGGGAGCCTGCTTCCTCCTCTCTCTCTCTGCCTGCCTCTCTGCCTGCTTGGGATCTCTCTGTCAAATAAATAAATAAAATCTTTAAAAAAAAAAAAAAAAAAAAGTTCTAGGATGCATATAATTTTCTGAGTAATACATGCCAAACAAATGTCAAGGCAAATTTATTGAAATTCAAAGCATTTGTTATAAAATATCTTAAAATAGTATATTTTTTAAAAAGATTTATTTATTTGACAGACAGAGATCACAAGTAGGCAGAGAGGGGTGGGAGGAAGCAGGGCTGCCTGCTGAGCAGAGAGCCTGATCCCAGGGTTCAATCCCAGGACCCTGGGATCATGACCTGAGCTGAAGGCAGATGTTTTAACCCACTGAGCCACCCAGGTGCCCCTAAAATAGTATATTTTTATAATCTCACAGTCCCAAGACTAAGTTAACACACGCACACACAAATATTATTGAAGACCTTAAGAATTACCATTCCCCAAATTAGATTTGGGATGATTAATAAATTAGCATGTTATATATAAATTTTAAGTTATGATATAAATGTGGATTATTTCTAATTTTCTCATGGAACACAAGGAAAGGCCTGGCGAGATTTCACTCTGTGATCTCTAACCACTTGGAGCCACATGGTTTCGATTTATTTACATTCCCCATTGAAGTCAGAAACAAGAACCATAGTTGATTGTGTTTTGGTCTTATCTTGTAGATTTCTCTTTAGAACCTTTGAGATTATAAATTTGCTTTCCAAGATCAAGACTAGTTGGTTCAAGGTCTGTTCTTTTTAAGATTTTATTTGTGAAAGAGAGCATGAGCAGGGAGCCCACTGTGGGACTTGATCCCAGGACCGTGAGCCTATGACAGACGCTTAACCGATGGAACCACCTAGGTGCCCCTCAAAGTCTGTTGTTACGGATCTGGGTGCTAGACAGATCTCATTTCTCGTTACGGTTTCATTCACCCATCCAGTCCTGCAGACTGAGATGCGTTTAGTGAGTGAGCGCAAACATTAAGCAGAACGTGGTGCTGTGAAAAATACCCCGCTATGTTCCCTTACTTCGTTGTTAATTACATTTGAATAACTTTGTGGAGAGATGCTTTACATTCCATGAAATTCACCCTTTCCAAGTATATGATTCAGTGGGTTTTAGTGTGGCCAGAGCTGTGTTTACATATCCACTGTCTCATTTCCAATATTGTCATCACCACACCCACTGGGGTCACTCTCCATAGTCTCCTTCCCCCAGGCCCTGGCAACCACTCCTCTACTGTCTGTCTCTTAGGGTTCTCCTCTCTCTAGCATTTCATATTAGTAGAATAAGACAGGATATAGTCTTTTTTTTTTTTTTTAAGATTTATTTGTTTGCGAGAGAGCACAGGAGGGAGCAGAGAAAAAGGGAGACAGACTCTTGCAGACTCCCCACTGAGCCCAGAGCCCAACATGGGGCTCAGTCTCATGACCCTGAGATCATGACCTCAGCCAGAATCAAGAGTTGACGCTTCACTGACTGAGCCACCCAGGCACCCAACAGTGTGTCATCTTTCATAATTGACTCCTTTCTCTCAAAGTCTGTTAATGTTACAACATGAATCAGTACATCCCTCCTTTTTTATGGTCAAATAATATTCCAGGTATCACATTTGGTTTATTCGTCCATCGACTGATGAACATTAAGGAGTTTCTATCTTCTGGCTCCTGTGAAGAGTGCTGGTGTGAAGCTTTATGTACAAGGTTTTATTGGAACACCCGTTTCCAGTGTCTTGGGGTGTAGACTCAGGAGAAGTACC